ATATTTAAATGGCTGATGCAGCCATCGTGTATAGTATAACACGAATATTCGATATAAAATCTTACCGACTTGTAATATTTTCATATTGTAACTCTCCATTTTGATGGAGTTGTGTCAACTGTTATACATTTTCATCGACGACCGAACAATTTTTTACTATTATTATTTCGGACGCGTGCCTCGCCGGAAAAATCTTCAAAATACGTCATCACTACAACGTCATATATCCTGCATGTGCGCATACATCAATCGATCCGCTCGTACCTAAATTCATATCACACAAACGTCGAGCATATACACACAACCGGGCTTCATTATGTGTATGTGTGTGTGTGTGTGTGTGTGTGTATTATTATAGTGCTGCAGTGGCGATCGGAAACTTTACCGCAAACGAGCTTTACATGTGCGCTACAGTCGTAGGTGGTGTACACAGTATGGCACGGTTAGCTTGTACAGAACAAATCGTTGGCCCGTGTAGCTGGGCGGCGGCGGTGCGCTCTACTAAAAGAGGGACTCGCCCTCGGTCGAACACCACGCCTTAGCCGTGTAAGCTTCGGGCCGGTGGCGAAATCCCGTATCGCGTATTATTACACATACGGCCGGCCGTGTATATAAAGCAGCAGAGGGCTCGTTGCCAAGTGCTGATGGTGTGTTGTACACATATTATACAGCCGACGAGCAACGTCTTCTGGCAGCCGAAACGCGGCTACGGTCGCCCGCTAGATATCTTCCTGCTGTGTAGTATATACCTACACGGCGGCCGAGGCTCATTCCCGAAGACTAAAATAATGTATATTATATAATACGCCGCGCTACTGTTATGCCGCGGTGGCGCGGCGGCGTCAATTGAATAATTCAATTCCGAAAAAAAAACCTCCCCGGGCGAAGTTTCTGTTATAATGTTTATGCAAATCGCATTTCGGGTTATTAGCCGCGCGCAGATTGCGCGGCGTCGACAACGTCACCTTGCGTGGCGAATTACTATTCGCCACGACCGGCCAAGTTTTGAACTTTGCCGCGGGTTTTCGCGCCTTTCGAATTATATTTTAATAATAACAATAATAATATACATAATATACAACGACCCTTCTCACGCGGGGTATGCCGTATACGTATATATTGTACACGCGAAATTGCGCGGCTTTCCTCTTTCGCGGTGTATTGTTTTTATTCTCATTTCGCAATTAGCTTAAAACGCTCTCGCCGAATTCGGTAGTTACCTATACATATATACACGCGTATTACGATACAAACTCTCCAAACTTTTGGCCGTCATTCCCCCGAGTCTGTTCCGCCGTCGCCGGCCTAATTGACAAAGAGTCGAAAAGTCGATGACTGTATATTATTATATATACGCGCAATAACCCTGAGCTCGACCTACCCCCGTGCCACCGACGGCGGTGGCTATTATTATTATTTATACAATATTTTTAGATATCAAAAGCTCTTTCTTCCCCAGATGGTTTTTATGTTTTCATCATTATACTATATATATATATATATTGTATCGTGCAGCGGACGACCGTTCGAAATCTCCCCGTGACGTGAAAAATCGCCGTAACCGAAAAAAAATAAACCAAATAATAAAAACGCTCAAAGGGGGACATACACGCATGCACATGCACGCACACACTCAAACTCTCTCTCTCTCTCTCTCTCTCTCTCTCTCTCTCTCTCTCTATCGTCGCGATTTGACGTTTAATAAAAACCGTTTTCCTGCAACTCAGTACATATATACGCTCTTGGGGCGAACGACATTTGCGTTATCGTACGTATGATATCTAAAAATATAATAACAACGACGACGTGTATTATATTATTATTATATCGGTCGTGGGTGATGAGAAGCTGTGTGTAGCCGGTGCGGCTGACCGCGCGATATACCGAATATTCGCCGAGGCCTTTATGCTGCAATATAGTCAGCGGAGGGGTGATCGGGCCGTACGTATACGTATTGAATGAGCGTAATATATATGTATAGATGGGGGACGATAGAAACAAAAAAACTAATCGCGACAGCCCGCGACGAAAACAGCGCGAGCCTTTGGTGTACACGCCGCCGCCGTCGTTTCCGAAACGACCCTGTTTTTTCTACCCCCGGTAGTAATGCGTACATGTATATGTGTTAGTACATACACTCGGTGGCGATGCGATTATTATTAATATTCGCGTAACCGCGATTTCCGTATATTATAAAATACTGTTATGTTGTATGCGTTTGTCGCATTCACTCGGTCTCGAATTCTCGGCTAGAACAATATTGTATTATTATTTATACAGCGATGTATACGCACACCATCATACGCGGGGTGGTGTTCGGGTCGAACGAAAATAAAGGTAATTGATAATATAGGTATTATTCACGTTGTCTGCGGTTAACTGCGACGCCAGCAAGACAACCTCTAGTCATACACACATTATAATATTCTCATTTCTCTGGCGTGAACAAAACCGTTGGTGAAAAATAAATATATTGTGTACGTACACGATAGCGTCTTCGTCGCGATCGTTTAGTTTTTTATACATATAGTCCGTGTTAAATGTAACGTTTTCATTCATCTGCCCCGCGGTAATTAATGGGCACCGTTCGCGAGAGATTGCAATTGACCGCGGCTAGAAACTCTCTCGAATTTAATAACCTAACATATTATGATAATAATATAATTCGAGATAATAACATACGCGTGTATATAGTGACAATTAAAAAAGTCGAAGAAAAAAACCACTCCCGACGGACGCGACGATAGTATTATACGGTACGACGCACGCGAAACATATTATAAGGACGCGAGGCCGGTGAGAGAGAGAAAGAAAAATACGTCGACGCCGCGATCGAATGAAAAGGATAATATAATATAAGAAAAGATCGTGCCCAGCACGCGCGCGTTATTAATTTAAATAAACTACGCGTTACGTCATCGGCTATCATCGTCGCATAAACACATAATATTATAATGGATACGAAATATTTGTGTGATTACCGCTCCGCCGCATGGCTGGCTTGGCCGCCCGCCGAGGTCAAATGGTCCATTAGGTGCTGTACGCCGACCGACAATAGCTGCAACGGCGTATTATTGTTTTATAGGTACCTATGGACGATGATACAGAGTATACCGCACGAAACTGAGTGATACCGCAAATATAGAGACCAGAATAAGTTTCCAATGATATCGCGAATATGATTTTTGAGCACTCGGTGATAGATAGAATATGGACAAAAAAAAACCAAATCTTACCCTAACCTACATTGCATTCCGTGGAGAGTGTAATTGGAAATCAGGAGGTGGATTTTATTTGGTTGAGCATAAAATTGATAATATGTTATGTATAATATTATTTGTTAATTGTTGGAAAATATAGTAATAACTAATAATTCAACAAATATTCTTTCTGAGTTGTATTTAACTGGAACTATATTATCGATATGGAAATATATTTTTAATATATAAATAGCTAGGTAGGCATCAAGGATCCGTCTATAGGCTCGTTGGATTGTGGACAAAAACCGAATTTTTTTTATATATTTTATACGTCATCTAAAATATTATATGCTCGATGATGACGACCGCGACGTTTCGCTTGGAAATCGATGTTTTCGGGGTGAGTGTTTTTAGCGAGGGGAAGGGTTTGATCTCGCGACACACACGAGTTTTTGGCGTTTAAGACCTGACGGGGATGACGAGTGGCGGGCCAGTCGAAAGGGCAAATATTGTTACAACGCTTCGCCGTATACGCATATACATATACGTACATTGCAATCGAGCGTCCCTCTTATGCTAATGCGGGCTGCAGAGGGGCCTAATTAAAGAATCATCCCTCTCGCTCGGGGTTGCGGCGCGGTTATCGAAAACCGAAAAAACAAAACCGCACGCCAAGCCTAACGAAAAATTAAAAATATATGTATACGACGCGCTCGCGGCCACGTAATCTGCGGGGGTGGCGCGACAGCCCTGACGAGTTCGTAAACAAACAACGGCGCGCGCGAGTTATATTATTAAAATATAATAATATTGTTGTTGGCGAGTATGGGTGCAGTACCTACCTCGTTGCATACATCACTGCAGCTTTTCTATGCGCAGCTGGGATTAACTTATTGCCTCTGAGTGATTAGCTGGTCGGTCAAAAATACAGCAAACGGGTCAAGCTTAGTAAGTCGTCGATAAGCTAAAAAAAATCCAAAATAGTATTATAACAGGGGACGCCGTGGATTAGTCTGTATTATACTCTATACAGTGGCGGTTTATTTCCCCGTTTCCGTTTCGTAACAGAAAGAATATATAATTTTTTTTGTACGCATAATATTGTCTAAAAGCATTTAATATTTGATGACTTCTTTGAGAGCGCACACAGCGACATGTTATTATCGTCAACGGTCTATTATTCACGACAATAATTCGACTTAGACCTCTCTTCACCACACTTTCGGTGCCGTTTGACAGAATTATATCGTCCCAAAACTCCATGTACCAATATATTTACATTCATATTATATTTTAACACAAAACCGGTTACAATGAAATGGAAATCGAACTCCTAACAACGCGTAATAATATACTCCGGCCAACGAGTAAATATTGTGTTTGTCCGCAGGTTGCTTGATCTCCCGAGAGAACGAAAATCGAATTAATTTGAAATTGATTTATACGATAACACCCTCGACGAATAGGGATATATTTATTTTTTACTCGAGAAAATGCTACGAAAATGCTCAAAAAGAAATAATGTACGGTTTTTTTAGACTTAATGTCGCAGTAAATACATCCATATTATGTAATACACCTATTACTCTCGTATATAATCGAACCCAGAGACACCAGCGCTCTCTGCAGTAACAGGTGATTCATACACCCCGGGAGTATAAAATTCCTAGGTCAACCCCCGGTATATTAAATATCGGTAGTTAAAAATTTGTTCAAATTTCTCATATCAGCCAACATTAAAAATGCATCCTTAGAACGTGGCCATAATTTAATATTATTTTGTTTCTTACCGTTTCACAGACGCGTGCGGGTTGTCAGACGTGGCGCACATCGAGTCGCTGCAGGAAAAGTCTCAGTGCGCCCTGGAGGAGTATTGCCGGACGCAGTACCCGAACCAGCCGATCAGGTTCGGCAAGCTGCTGCTCAGGTTGCCGTCACTGCGCACGGTCAGCTCGCAGGTCATCGAGCAGCTCTTCTTCGTCCGGCTGGTGGGCAAGACGCCCATCGAGACGCTCATCCGGGACATGCTGCTAAGCGGAAGCAGCTTCAGCTGGCCGTACATAAACTCCATGTGACACTCCGTCTGGAGGCAGATGACGGGCACGCCCGCCCCGTTGTGATGCCGCGCCGCCGCTTAGTCTATATACACTCCGCCGGTCGTTGTCGCGTCGCTTGGTAAAAATGCATACGATGGGTGCGATGCGATATCCACCCACATAATGTTATTTTATGATATGATGTTGTGATATTTCAACGTGGCCGCGACACGCCGGGGACGCCGTGCCATCACCGCCGGGCGTACTGCAGGACGTGCCGTCACCTTTTCCGCGCGCCGAGAGGGAACCACCGCATCACCATCGCCGCCATATCACCTGCACCGATCATATTATATATTATATTATTGTAATAATGCAAGAAACGTGTTCGACGCACGATGACCTACACACACGGCATCACTCGATTATTATAATATATTTTATTATTATTATTTATATATTATTATATTACCTATGCGTTTTACTATATCTTTTTTTTTTTGTTTTTATTGTTTATTATTATTATTATTATTTTTTTTTTTTTAATATCCCAAAAATTAGGCCCTAAGCGCGTTTTAGTCTTACACGCCACTTAGACGACTGGGAGAGTTGCAATATTTATTACGATTTAATACCGTATAAAACATTTTTTTATCGGGTCAAGCATGATAAAAAATTCCATCGATGTACATTAAACAATTTTAATTTTATTATTACTACCTATTATTTTTACTGTAGTCAAACCTGCGACTGTAAATACCTACATATATATATATATACGAAGAGCATGTACAAATGTTTGTGGGCTATATTATATACATATCGAACCAACCAAAAAAAATATATTTGTCTATATAAATAACTAATGAATACAACGCCCAAAAAGCACTGTAATAATAATAATAATAATAATAACAATAAACGTTTTTGAGTCATATTATGATATTATTATTTAGGTTATTGTTTTGTTTTCCTTTGCAGACTTTTTTCTTTTTTTTCATATTTATATTATGATATTATTACGCATTTATGTATGATACTTATTATTATATTATAATAAAACGTTTGAAACCATACCCTATATTGTTACAATTTTACCTACACTAAACACGCCATTTCTATTTTATTTTATCTCCATACAGTGTAACAGGTGCCTATGTATACCTATGTATCAATATGTATCATGTATACATAAAATATTAATCCGCAGACGCACTTCGTAAAAACATAATAATGATAATGTATATAGGTACGTTTCTTCGTTGCACACACCTTGCAGTACTCTGCAGTTTCTATAAAATACAGTATAATGATATAGATACACGCTTTTATTTATTTTAAAGATATTCGAATATGTTTAGTTGTTTAAGTGGCATGTCTAGTTAAATTGATCAAGGTGATGGTTATGTAGCCACGCCTCGTCAATAGCACATATTATAATCATTTTAAAGTTTGTTTTATTTATATCGCCGTACAGGTATATATTTATTATTGCTTTTTAATGATTGGTTTTATTTTTGTTGTTATGTTACCGTTAAACATAATATAGTGTATAGAATTTTTAATTTATATTCGATTCAGTAATCGAAATATAACTTTTTATTATAACTGTTTTGTTTTCCTGTAAACGCAATCATAACACGTCATATTTAATATATTATACCAGCTATACGTATACCTATATAATTTATAAATAATATGCAACCATATACCTGCACTCGCCCGTTTGATTGTTTAATTGTTATTATAAAATAGCATGAAATGTGAAAAGGAAAAAAATTATATCATTTGATCACAGCGTTATTATATGATGACATTAGATAACATCACTGGCGCAACTGCGAGGGATGATGACTACATTATAATACGATGGCCGTATAGGTAACCCCCATCACACCTGTCGACAAAATATGATTATCGCGCCAATTCATTTAGTACAGGTGCTGTACATAATAATATATTACATCGACATAATAAAATAAGGGTTACAACGCTCATTTGTAGGGACATGTCGTCACCAACGTCACAATCACGTACTAGTCGAATTAGTTTTTTTTATTCAATTAACAGAAAGTCTAGTATATAAATCGTTTCTATTAGTGCAGTCGTTCGTAATATCTGATTTATAGACATAACCTAACTTTACTTAGAGCATACCTAGACATAACCAATATTAGGTACATTCAATCATGTAATAAACTGATAAACGATTCTACTTAAAATAAAGCGAATATATTTAAATATGAATTAAATATAGGTATAAAGAGCTATTATTTTATATACGTGTTATTTCTTACTACAATGATTACGATAAAAAATAATTTTGGTTTTATTCCAATCACTACATTAAAGTCGTATAATAGACGTACCTACAGTAGGTGTCACAGTGCTGTCCACGTAATAGAAATCTGTCTGTATGAAACTATTATAATATTTCAAATAAAGGTACTAACTATATAATTTATAGAAGAAAAATATTCCTAATGATTACTGTATATTAAAGGTACCCCAGCCCAGTATGGACGATGCTGACCAAACAGCATTTCTGTCTTGACGCATATTCTATGATATAATTAATAATTATGTAGGTAATATAGAAATATTAAAAAGTGTGTAAAATATTGTGTATATAATATCTAGTTATGCATTTTTATTATTATTATTATTATTATTCTTTATATAATATATAAAATGTTAAATTTCGCATACAATTTTGTAGTCTGCACGTGTTTTACAATTCGGCCGATACCTAGTTATTTTGCGTCAAACGTAAATCCCAATATAGATGGTATATTATAATAATCTGGTCGTATATAATAATAATATTTTGTAATATTTTAAATATAAAATAATATGTTTATGTACAATTATTATATGATTGATTTGCAAAATGTTATGATTTATTATATGTAATTTATATGATGATGATAATAATATAATAATAATAATAATATAATATATTATACTTATAAGGCGAGTGTATTTTCACGTGGATTTGTTGTAAATATTTTACTATTTCATGTGTATAGTAAAGAATGCCATATAAAAAAAAAAAGTTTTTTTGTTTCAATATTGTTTTATTGGTAATTATTCTCTTGTACTTACCTATTTCGATTTCAAATAACGATATTTGTATAACTACGTTATTATGATATAGATTACGCAAATTACAATATTGTTGTGCGTATAAATCGATACGATTCCATCATACCGATGTCGAGACAAATATTCAATTATATGTCTACAGTTACGCTGGAACGTTACATTACTTCAAAATATGAGTATGTGTAGCCGGTTCAATAAATTCTGTTTTATTGGTAGGCACTGCAATAGTATGCTGAATCTTGTATATTAATATATTATATAGGTCTCGTGAATTAAAATTTTTATCCGATGAACTCAAGACTGATTTTGGGACCAAGATAAATTTAAGCTATTGCCTATTTTAAATAAATCGTGCAGCAGAAAACTCTGCTAAATTGCGATACCCACATTTCAAAATAAAATAAATTAAATCTAAATGAATATTTCTTATTCCGATATTCCCTTTAAACGGCCTATATGATATTTGAGATTATTGTGATAATTTTACTATAAAGAGTAAAGAAAGTGACTGGTAACAAAAAAATTAAATTCTTAGAAAGTAAAAGCGTATGGTCCTCTATAATAATTTTATATCGACAAGCGAAAAAAAATCTAAGCATTGAAGATATGTATAACAAAAACGTGTTCCTAGTCCAAATAGTAAACCAAACAAAATTATATCAAAATTAATTATTCATAACGCTCTGGGTAATTCTAAATAGCTTTATTAAACTTATTTTAAGACTATATGCATTGCAAGCATGCTCACCAAAATATTGAACTTGAAAGGTGAAACTGTGAGCAAAAATAATGGAATTATTTTTAGACAAAAAAAGAAACTATTTTATCATAGTTAGTCAAAAAGACGACTTAGACCAAAGTAGTTGCGTCCAAGGTCCATATCATTATAATAGTGCTGTTTAGGTATAAATCGGTGCATTCACACAAATAAGTATGAGGGTATTAACTGACTCCCGAATTAAATTAGGGGGTGATGGTGGTAAAGGTGTGGTAAAAATTAAGTGGTCCGGGATGCTATTTGTAGTGAACACAGCAATGTCATAACAAAAACATTATTATTTTTTGATTAAAAATGAGTTAAACATATTATATTATGCGGTCAACACTCCCGAAAATGAAATATTGTGCACCACTGGCACGCAAAGATGGTGAGTTTAAGTAACTCTTGTATATTATACTTGTATACTTGTATACGTGTACACATTACACATTACACTTCTCTTTGTATATAACTATATAATACTGCCTATCGTTCAAGCCACGAGTTGGTCTATCAAGATAATATAGTATTCGCACTTTCACTGTATCAGCTATTGCGAGCAAGAGAAGAAGCGCATTCTGTACCCATCATACGGCCAGCCATTTACATATTATTATCACGATATCATGCGCTACCGTCTGTGTTGTATAATAATAATATGTGTGCATGTGAAATATCACGTATCGCATTTTCGTCGAAAGGTCATTGTGGACCGTGCGTGTGCATGCTTGTGTACGAGGTGCATACCTTTTAGAAATTTGGTTTCCATTCGGGAACCTTGCCAAAACCAAGGGGAAAAAAATAAAAAATAAACTGATAAAATACTTTTGGTGCCCACGAGATTCACCGTACCCGAAATAGAAAACGAATTGCACTTTTTGGCCGACCGATAGACCAGCAAAATTCTTTCTTTTTTTTCGTTCTTTCATTCGCTTGGCAAACTACAGATGAGTGTATACAACAAACTATAATACGCGTACCTACACATAACGACGCCGATACCGACGACGGCGACGGCGACGACGACGAACACGCCGCCGAACGAGGAATGAATGAGACTTATTTTTAAAACCATTGTTTAAAATGTATTTACGATTTCGTCCTCCCGCGTTTCAATCATCTCTTTGTCCCTTTTAAATTGAACGTATCTTCATCACCAAATAAGAGAGAGAATAAAAAATTAGGTACTTACTCATTTAAAATAGAATCGTTGACGCGCGTCGCGTCGTCTTGGGTGTTCTGGCGAGCATTTTTTTAATTTTTTATCATACGGTCTGCAGCACTACTATGGTTATATACAATATATATATATATATATATGTATAATATAGGTATCTACATTATTATAATACACAACGCCTGCAAGCAGATGCTAATTATTAAAACATCAGGGATGACATTATATTTAAAGCACACGGTCTACGTGTTGACGGCACTTGAAACTGCACCATAGACTGATATATATACACCATATACCGAAGTTAGATATTAATATTATCAAACACTACATAATAGGTATACAACAAGGATGAGTGTTCTATCGAGTATTAAGAGTCTGCATACAGACGGCACTTGGCAGAAATTCAACACAGTTTGTAACCACTCCTCCCCATTCCACAAACACACTAACTAACTATGAATTATAGTTTAATTGTAAACTTACCATTATACCAAAAAAATAACTGTAAGTACATAATATATACATTGAGAGTATACTTATGAATATCCTAATAAAATATATTATATGTATACGAGTAAAATTATAACTTATGATTTATTGATGACTATAGGTGTAATCATAAGGCGTAGGTGTTACCTATAATCTGTATAATATTTTGTCGTAACATTTCCATTTTAGTGAACTTATTGTAACCACGAACTGATTATGGCATGTATGATAACACAA